TGGGCAGAGTGTTGGGCTGGATGGGCCTTTGGCCTGATCCAACATTGGCATCTCTTATGTTCTTATGTATGTATGTTCTTATGTTCCCTCTCCTTTATACCCAGCTCCCTCTCCCAGCACCGTCTCCCAGCCCCGCCTCCCTGTGATTCCTCTCAGCCCTGCCCGCTATGATAAGCTCCGATACCGTCCCTATGGCCTGGATGTGGTCGGATTGGCATAAGAACATAAGAGACGCCAATGTTGGATCAGGCCAAAGGCCCATCCAGCCCAACACTCTGTGTCACACAGTGGCCAGAAATACCAGGTGCCATCAGGAGGTCCACCAGTGGGGCCAGGACATTAGAAGCCCTCCTACTGTTGACCCCCCCCCCTAGCACCAAGAAGACAGAGCATCCCTTGCCCCAGAGCCCCTATCTATACCTTGTGGCTAATAGCCACTGATGGACCTCTGCTGCATATGCTCCATATGGCGTGCAGGGTCTCGTGCATTCGCGTGTTCGTTGTCAGCTTCCGGTCGCTGTCAGCCTCTCCTGCTGCTCCTCGAGGCTCCTTGCTTCGTGGTCGGGCTGGCCCAGGCTGTTGTGCCCCGGCGGCGCTGACAGGGTCCGGCATTGCGAGGTGTTCCTGGTCTGTGGGTCTCCTGGGTGAGTTGGTGGTCGTTGGGGTCCCTGAGGGGTGTGGGTTCCGTCCCAGGATCCCGGAACCGGGACAGGGTGGTTCAGCAGTGTTGTTGTTGTTGGACCTGTCGGCAATGTTCGACACGGTCGACCACCAACTACTAATCCACCGCCTCGCCGACACTGGGATTCAGGGGTTTGCCTTGCAGTAGCTGTCCTCGTTCCTTCAGGGTCGGGGACAAAGGGTGGCCATTGGGGAACAGCTGTCTGGAAGGCACCCGCTGATCTGCGGAGTGCCCCAAGGAGCGGTGCTCTCCCCAATGTTATTCAACATCTATATGTGCCCTCTTGCCCAGATTGCCCAGAGTCACGGACTGGGTTGTCACCAATATGCGGATGACACCCAGCTCTATCTGTTGTTGGACGGCCAGTCAAACTCTAGTCTGGAAGATCTGGACCTGGCGTTGAAAGCTGTGGCTGGCTGGCTTAGAATGAGTTGACTGAAATTGAATCCGACAAAGATGGAGGTCCTGTGCTTGAGTCGGAGCAGACCAAGGATTGGGATCCCACTCCCGACCTTTGATGGGGCACCGTTGGTGCCAGCACCGGAGGTTAGGAGTCTGGGAGTGCTCCTGGATGCCTCCTTAACGATGGAGGCCACGGTAGCAGCTACTGCCAAGTCAGCCTTTTATCATCTGTGGCTGATTAGGCAGTTGGTTCCCTTCCTTGAACACAATGACCTGGCAACAGTGATCCATGCAATGGTCCCCTCAAGACTGGATTACTGTAATGCTCTCTGCATGGGGTTGCCCTTGTCCCAAACCTGGAAGCTGCAGCTGGTGCAGAATGCAGCAGCCGAGCTGTTGTTGGGTCTCCCTATGCAGGAACACATTCAGCCTGCGCTAAAAGCACTGCACTGGCTGCCTGAAGCATACCAAATTCGGTTCAAGGTGGTGGTTCTTACCTTTAAGGCCCTATATGGTCAGGGACCTACATACCTAAGGGACCGCCTTTCCCAAAATGTTCCCCAGAAAGCACTACGATCGGGGTCCCAAAACCATCTGGGCCTTCCAGGCCCTAAAAAAGCTGGGCTGGCTGTGATGAGGGCCAGGGCCTTCTCAGTGGTGGCTCCACACTAGTGGAATGAGCTCCTGGATGACATTGGGTCCCTGCGGGACCTCTTACAGTTCCACAGGGCCTGTAAAACGGAGCTCTTCCACCAGGCCTTCGATTAGGGAGCCACCCCCTCCAACACTGAGGCCCTGGTCCCAGTACCAACACCAACTGAAACATTGTGATCAACAGCCTGTTAAAATCCAAACTACGACGGTAGCGGACTACTTTGGATGCCGTGAATGCCGCCATCGTCTATGAATTGTACTAGCACTTTATGATATGTTTTATTATTATACTGTTGTGGTTTTATTTAATTCTGTGTTTTAGTTGTTTTAACATATTGTGCGTAAGCCGCCCTGAGCCTGCGTTGGCAGGGAGGGCGGGATGCAAATCAAATCAAATCAATAAATAAGTGGAGCCCGTCGGCAACCAGGTTCAGCACAAACACTGATAACACATTAGGTTAAAAACACATTAGGTCAAAAATAACTTGGAAAGGTTGAAGCTCAAAACAGTGTGGAATGAGTAGTGAGCAAAGCAGGCAGTGCCTCCCAGTAAACACACCCCACTGGGGCAACAGAAGCCTCAAAGCAGTCACGCTCATGGAAAGCCTCGTGACTATTGTATGTCCTCTGTTGCTGCCCCACCAAACACATACAATGAAGTAAGATAGGTAGGGTTCTGGCCCTCCATCAGTTTACTTATGGCCAGGGCTTTTTTGGTAGAAAAAGCCCAGCAGGAACTCATTAGCATAATAGGCCACACCCAACAGCAGAAACCTATTACCATATTAGACCACACCCTTGACAGCATAGCTCATTAGCATATTAGGCTACACCCCACATGTTACCAGAAGAGTGGTCATCCAACCACACCCACCTTTTGCTTCTTATTCTGTTTACTTTGTTGTCAAAACCCAGGGCTTTTTTGTAGCAGGAACGTCTTTGCATGTTAGGCCACACATCCCTAATGTAGCCAATTGTAATGAGTTTCTGCTGTTGGGTGTGGCCTATTATGCTAATGAGGTCCTGCTGGGCGTGGCCAACTCAGGAGCCAGCCGGAACTCCGTTCCTGTGCGTTCCTGCCCAAAAATAGCCCTGCTTATGGCAAATTGAATCCCAGCCAACCCTTGTGTATCTAGACTGACGGGAAGGGCTCCCTGGCCTCTTTCCTCAGCATGAGGCACAGCAGGTCGGGTGAGAGAGCCAGGTCTCCACAGTGCCCAGAGGAGGGCGACTTGGCTGTGGAGAAAGGGAAGCAAAACTACCATCACCTCACTGAGGCCAGCTTGCTGATGTGGTGATGGCTGTATTCTTTTTTTTTTTGTTCTCTGCATCCAGCTTGCTCTTCTCCCAGAGGCTGCCCCACGTACTGGAATGACAGGACAGAAGCCACAGAGAAAGTTTTTCTCTGTAACAGTCAAGGGCTGGCCCCCTGTAGTGAGGGACACACAAATCCACACAGTGGGGCCAAGTCACAGCTACAGTTTAGGAGAATCCCCAGACTTGCACAAAAGTCTGACTTCCAGAGTTTCTAAAAGGGACATGCGCGGGCAGTGCACCTTTGGATCCAATCCATTGGTTAGACTGAAACATATCAAGTGTTGGAAAGGATGCGGATCCAAAAGTGATTTCTTCCGCTGTTGGTGGACCTGCACAGCGATTAAAAACTTCTGGTCCCAAGTGTTGGAAGAAATAAAGAAGATGACAGCAGAAGACATCCCACTTGATCCAGCTATCTTGCTTCTTAATTCAAGATATAGCATTGATGAAAACGAAGTAAAAAATACCCAACTAGCCGCCACATTAATAGGCTTTCTGTTGCTGCCTCATGGAAAAATCCTGATCCTCCTTCCATTGCTCCATGGAGAAATAAATGTTGGGACCACTTTGTGATGGACAAAGTAGCAGATAAATACGAGTCCCACACACAAGGGTATGCGGGGTCCCATTCCACATTCATTCGAAAATGGTGTCCTCTCATAACATATTTCACAGAAAACAATGTATTACCAGCACATACTGGCTATGCAGAATGGCTACAGCTATGATAATTTTTTATGGTCTGAGCACTCTCATAAAATACTATTGAGGTTCTTCTAAAATATATCTGGAATTATTATACGTTACTATTATAGCAATCTTAGAATAATTGGAAAATCACAAGAAAGTGACAAGGATATGGTAATAGGAAGATCCTGCTGACAAGCTAATAGATGGCATCGTGATATATGTATCTGCACTTAGTTTGTATTAATGTTTATACAGTAATCTTGAGATATAATGGGTTTATTTATGCACACTTGACATATCTTTTAATAAAATTAATTAAAACAAAAAAAAATGAATTCAAATAACTAATAATTAAATACTGAGCCCTGCCCCCCAAGATTTTGACTGATGGAAACAGCCAAACTAATCAATCACTACAAAATTCTTCTCTCTTTCGAGACTAATGCCAGTGGAGCACCCAGCTACATGGCAGGAAAAACAGCAACAAAGTTAAGGATAACAAGTGTTTTCTTTACTTGTTAGTTTTTTCATCTTTCCAGCGCTTCTTAGTGGTTATCCCATATGACAAGGCCTACTTGCATTAGCCTTAAGTCTACTGTTTGTGTTAAACACCTTGCGAAGTTTTCCATGTATAGGAAAGCGTATTAAGAAAACGTAAAACTTTTAGACAAACAGATTTGTAATATTTATTTTCCATTGCACATATATAGCTTATATACATGTTAGTAACCTGAAGTTACTGTGTAGTTTTGTTACAGCTGACACATATTAATATACCATGGCAAGAATCAAACTTAAGTATGACTGCATTTTTCTTAAAAAAACACACACCAAGAAATTGCACTTTTTATTAAAGTTCTTTTCCAATCTCTGGAAACCACCCACATCACTAGTAATATGTCATTAGGACTCTCAAGTGTTGCCGTTAATTTGTACACTTTTTCTTTTTAATTCAGCGGGATCATTCTATCCAATTGTGCTAGAAGATGGGACGTACTATGGATCCTCCTGCTACTTCGTCAAGGTTCATTACATGAAATGCACTACAGCTAAGCCATTATACAACTGTTATTCAACATGGAGAAACCACTCTTTAAAAATATGGAAACACGATAAAAAAAAATTCATATGGTGTATCATCAGAAGAGAAAGTGTCGGCGTTCTGCTATGAAGGATGGTCCACTACTTACATAACCGATTTAAAATAAAAATCACAGCATATGAGAGAAAGGGCGGGGCCAACGAGGTTCTTCCAATCTTCTCTTGCAAAGCGTAATCTTTCACTGTTCACAAATGAGGGTTTCTACAGCAAATCTGTTCTCGAAGTGTCGGATCTTCCGGCAGTTACTCACTTCACGTTTATGAATTCCTGGTAGGACAGCAAGCAGGTTATAGAGTTATTTTATTTAGAGGTGGGAAAATGGGAATTACCTTTTTCCCCAATGGAAGTAAAAATGTTAACTTGTCTTTGTAATGAGCTATAATTATCCATATTTGCCACAGGATCATTAGTGGAACGAAGACAGTAGTTCTGCGTCCACCCAGGCTCTAGCAAATACTACCCAACCTCCCGTTTTTACCCTACAGTCGTTCACACATACACACTGTTGGTGAAAGCAGGCCGTGCCTCGTTCCCTAGATACAGTTTCTTCCTTGGTGTTCACTTTCCTACCCAACAGGAGCACAGAGACAACCACAACCCGTAAAAACCATGGCCCTTCCAGCAAACAGCCCTTATATAGAAAATGAAACAGCTATGAATACCACAGCCAAGAGAGCTGGAGTCCCCCACCTTCATCTGACTGAGCACAGCAAAAATTATCTATGCTTAAAATCACACCGGACAACCCTAGATCCCCCTCAAACAGACCAGACATTACTTTGTTTTTAATTTATTGCTAGTGATCAAGGTTGCGGTTTCCATCAAAAGATTCTCTCTCTCCATCTCCCACTACCTCACAGCAACAATCCAATGGATTTACACAATTCTCTTTCAGGATGCCGCATTACCGTTAGAAGCCGTAAATCCATTTAAACACAGCGGCCATAATCCAGACAAAATTAAGCATTGTTCTACCTTGCATTTCAACGGGGAAGATCTGAGCACACACTTAGTATTCTTGTTAGAATGCCCTGACCTGGACTGCCCAGGCTAGCCCGATCTCATCAGATCTCGGAAACTAAGCAGAGTCGGCCCGGGTCAGTACTTGGATGGGAGACCACGAAGGAAGTCCAGGGTCACTCCGCAGAGGCAGGCAAGGGCAAAACGACCTTTGAACATCTCTCACACTGAAAACCCTATGGGGCTACTTAAAAAAAAAAAATTATTGCTAGTTGCTGTTTCCATCAAAAGATGCTTCTTCTCCATCTCCCAGTTTGGTGTAGTGGTTAGGAGCGCGGACTCTAATCTGGGAGAACCGGGTTTGATTCCCCACTCCTCCACATGCAGCTGCTGGTGTGACCTTGTGTCAGTCACAAGTTCTTCCAGAGCTGTTCTCTCAAGAACAGTTCTCGAAAGAGCTCTCTCAGCCCCACCTACCTCACAGGGTGTCTGTTGTGGGGAGGGGAAGGGAAAGGCGATTGTAAGCCACTCTGAGACTCCGAGTGAAGGGCGGGGTATAAATCCAATCTCCTCTTCATCTTCAGCGGCAGAATGGAACTTTCCTGCCTCCCCCTGCAGCCTACCAATCCCCACAAAATGGTGCTCCTGGGGGACAGGGGACCCGGAGGAATGAGATGAAGGTACTTTGCACTAGGAAGGAGAAATTGGAGGAAATTCGCAATCTAGTCTGGATCCAACCTGAGTCACCTAGCTTCATTCCGGCACATCACCCCTTGAAGGACGGAGAGGTGCCAAAAGTGAACCTCTTTTGTGTTCTCAGCAGCGCAATCCATACCTCTCAGAGCTTCCTTGCGCTGCAGTTTGTAGGTCTCCTTGTCACGGCAGAGGCGATAAATAAAAAAGCCCAGCTGATCCACGTTTTCTATGCGATCAGTAACAATCATCTGCTCGTGAATCAAGTACGACTGAGGCAAGTAAGTCCCAGCCTACAGCAAGCAAAACACACAAAAAAGTTATTTAATATACAAAATTTGCCAGAGTCACTTTCATATCAATCTTTTAAAAAAAACACAAAAAGATGTGCTTCGGGCCCACAGAATAATAAGGAAGTTTAGCTAATGAGAACCTTAGATAAAGGAATGTGACCTACTTCTAGCCAGAGGTCATTTCGGGGGGGATCGCGGTTCCCCCGGGTGAGGTACGAGGGGGCGGGGCACATGACGAAGCCCCGCCCCCTGCTTCCAGCCCTCATTCAGCCAGGAGGAGGCAGGAGAAGAGGGAGGGTAAGTTGTTTCCTCCCCGCCTCTCCCCACCCCTGCCTGCCTGGGGCCAGGGAGGGCCTTGGTGGAGCTTCCTCGCACTCCCGCCAGCCTTGCAGGTCCACCGCCGGGCCCCTGATGTCAGGGGGTGTGGCATATGCTAATGAGTTATGCTAATGAGTTCCCCTAGCTCTTTTTCTACGAAATGACCCCTGCTTCTAGCTAACAGAATCAAAACAACGCAAGATGCACTAAGACCTCAGCAACGTCAGTCTTTCAGTTGCCAAATCAGAGAGCTGGTTCTATTCCATTGAGCCTGTAAGGCTGTCTTGTTGTTCATTGTTTGGCCATCCACATTGTCCTTTGGCCAATTTGAGAAGGCTACACTCCAATGCACATTGGGACACAAGACTGGAAAATTGTGCACAAGCATTCTGGAGATGAAGAGGGCTTTTAACAGCTACTAAAAAATTTGGTTCACTCATATTTTGAAAAACACAACTGATGTAATTTCAAACTGCCACTGTTAAGGTCCATCTAATTTCACGTTATTCTTCACTCTTTTGCTTTCAAACCTCCATAGCGACACTATCCCCCAGCCCACACCCTGAAATATAAAGCTGATGAAGAATTGTGTGTATCTGATGAAAAACATGCTGATTAGACAATGACCTATATATGCATTTTATCCATACTAGAACAATATACCCTGTTTTTATATTTCCGGATGAAAAACATGCATTTTTTTAAAAAAACTGGTTAAAACCTAAGAGTACTATTGCAAGCAGTGTTCCCTCTACGCTGAGTTAGTGTGAGGTAGCTCACATTTTTTTAGCCTCCGGCTCACACATTTTTGTCTTAGCACGGGAAGGAGGGTTCCAGACCAAACTAATTCATGCAGTAGCCAAATCGCTCACTCAGAACCTTAATGCCAGTAGACCACAAAGTAGAATTTTTGCTCACAAGACTCCACAGCTTAGAAGGAGCACTGATCACAAGGTAGTGATGATATAATTGTAGGTGGAGGGTAAAGAGTAATCTCAGTAAGTGTTCCTTAATGTGTCTGATAAGTTTAGTATTTTGTGTTCAGTAATTATTGATTTGTTTTTACAGACAGTATATTTTATTGTCTGCCATCCTAGATATCCTTTGGAACAGAAATGCATGGTAAAAATCAACAAAAACAAGTAAATAAGTTGCTGAGACAGATGGGAATTTTTGGAAGAGGACAACTGGCTGCATTTGGTGGTGGTGGTGGGGTATCTGCTGTTTCTTGAGCTGTCAAAAATCCCTGCTGTTTGCAGACAAAGAGTGATATGCCCCTAGAGCGGGGGGGGGGGGCTTCAGGCAGCTCCCTTTCCTCTGCCCTCAAGCAGGGGACAGGCTTTGCCTGGAGGTGGTTAGGCGGTGCAAGGGCAGACTGGCAGCCAGCAGGATTCTGAAAACATTCTGAGAAGCAGGGCTCTTTTTGGGCAGGAAGGCACAGGAACGGAGTTCCGGCTGGCTCCCGAGTTGGCCACGCCCAGCAGGAACTCATTAGCATAATAGGCCACACCCAACGACAGAAACTTACTAGGACTGGCTACATTAGGGGTGTGTGGCCTAACATGCAAAGGGTTCGTGCTACAAAAAAAGCCCTGGGTTTTGACAACAAACAAGGTAAACAGAATAAGAAGCAAAAGGTGGGTGTGGCTGGATGACCACACTTCTGGCAATGTGGGGGTGTGGCCTAACATGCTAATGAGCTGCTCTGTCAGGGGTGTGGCCTAATATGCTAATACGTTTCTGATGTTGGGTGTGGCCTATTATGCTAATGAGTTCCTGCTGGGCTTTTTCTACAAAAAAAGCCCTGCTGAAAAGCATCTCTTGCTCAGAATTAGAATTGGGTGTGGACTCTCCTCCCATGAGTGTCCTTGCTTCACACGAGGATCCTGCTCACAGAACTCACAACACGTGCCATGTGTCTGACCAAGGACAAGTCTTGTCTTGCCCCCTCCCTCCCCCTTTTGGTTTCTTAGCAACGTCAACATCTTCAAAAGTAGACACTGCATTTTTGTTCAATCCTCAAGCCCAGAAGATTGCCTACTCTGGACTTTAGGAGACTCTCTGGGTCACGGGATGTAGATTATGGCACCCGTATGTACAGGGGTCATTTCGTAGAAAAAGAGGTGCATGAGCTCATTAGCATAATGCCACAACCCCTGACATCACTGGAAGTGTGTCAGAAGGCAACACCCACCACTCAGGCTCCACTTGGTCTTAAAGGTGCCACTGGACTGTTTTGGATTGCTAGCTGGAGGGGTGGACGTGCAGATCTGCCCTCACAGAGGAGGGAGAGCTTGTGCCTGAAGGCAGGCCGGGTGGGGGGGCCTCTGGAACTTACCTGGCTGCTTCTTGCTCCTCGTGGCCCAACTGAGGGCTGCTGGGAGCAGGGAATGGGGCTTGTTGCATGTGCCCGCCCCCTGGGCTCCTTACTGCTGGAGCTCTACTCCTGTGCACTCCTGCAGGAAATGACCACTGCGTACGTATAAGTCTAACCTAGGATCCCCAACACAGTACCTGTGGACACTTTTCCTGTTGCTCATCACGGGTGGGTGGGGCTAAGTTGGGCTTTTGTCCAGCAAGGCTTCTGATTGGCCACTGGAGATTTGACTGGCTATGCAGATTTTTTTAAAAAATGCCGTTTCAGCAGCAGCTGCCACCGCGACACAAGCAACTTTACTGTGTGGCTGAAGTTAAGCAGTGGCAGACATTGTATGACGGGCACCACCTCGTGCAGAGCCATTTTGTGGCTGCGGTCACCACACCGTGTCAGAATTCGAAAGGTGCACACAGGCTTGGAAAGGGTAGGGACCCTTGCTCTGTTAAATTTAAAATTCAGTTAATGGGGGAAAGAACTCACAATTACCTCGTTGATGTATACTGTTTTATGGGTGGGATCTGCAGTTAACTTTGGATCTGAATTGGCATCTAGTATTCAGCCTGTGGAAGGGGACTTCCCCCTCCAGCTGCCGCCACCCACAGCTCTCTGAAAAGGCTTGAGATGCAAGGCAGAGGGGGAACCAGAAGCTACAGGTGCAGCCCACCCATCCCTTGCCTATCATTCCTCGAAGCGGCACTCTGGATCCGATCCCATAGTACTTTGTGCTCACACAGACTTTTCTAACAATTTACAGGTTTAACAGATACAGGTGACTACGTTACGAAGAGGCTGGCTGCAATTTGATCATACCTTGATATTGATCAGCAACTCCAAGAAGTTTTTAGGCGGCATAACCACCGACGTGTTTAGAGGAATGACGTAGCACTTATCTAGGCTAAGATCAAGGTAAGCTGTGAGTCTCTGATGAGGAAATGCAGATCATCGTGTTAGTCGTTTTGGAACAAATTTAAGTGAGTAACAAACTCTAATTAGCCACCATTTTTTCCTGTTGAAGTCTATCCCATAGACTGATTGTCAAAAGCATTTTGGGGTATGCCCAAGACACAGCTTCCATTATTTTCTATATCGGCTTTCACAATTCAATCTGTGCAGTGGATAGGATGGTAAAGTTCAACGTCAGGCTGAAGATTTCGAGAACCATTTTAATGCTCCATCATGTAACAAACTATCTGCAAGTAAAAAACTAGAGGGAAAACACATTTCCTACGGTGCTACTTTTACAAAATTCTTTATAGAGAAAAGCATTAAAACTAGTTTATCATCTTAAGACTCTACCATTTCACTGAGCGGCAAGCACAAAGCAGGCCTGATACGGCAGCTGGCAAAACATAACATCAATCGCGTAATTTATGCTGTTTTAATTTATTAAAAAATGCCATGAGAGACTATCACACAGCCGAAGTACTTTGTATGAATTAGAATTCTTCACATTCAAATGAGTTGGATCCATACGGAATCACCGTTAGATACAGCCAAATCATCCAAAACAGCGGGCGACATCAAATTATTCTTTAATGCAGTTTTTTTAAAATTCAGCACACTGAAACACCCAGTTCTTGGTCCTGTAGGACCTCAGATGAACATGCAGGGGTTGAGAATTCTGAAATGAACTCCGACTGCTATGTTAACGCGGCCTGATTTATGCAGCCCATTATACAAAGCAGACAAATTGGCACTTTGCGTATCCCCTCCCAAACAGAGTCTTTAAATAACAAAACTGGGGGAGAGGAGGAATCTTTCCATAATACAGATTTTTTAGAACCCTGAAAACCTTTCCCCACTATTTCTTTGTCTAGGACAACAGCTAGGAAAACAAATTAGGTCCTTGGTTAATGCCTGGGATCTGTGTCACTTGCAGGTCCACAAACAAACCTGTCTGCTTACACTGGATCTAGCATGTGACTATGCTGTGCAGCAAGTCTGCTCCCACCCCTGGTGACACTTGCATACCATTTGCTAATGCAAACCCTGCTTTCAAATGAGCAAGGAAGTGAAAGAAAGGACATGCTCCGATTACACCTGGAGCTTCTCAGGTGATCCTCACCCTTTGAAAATCATGAACGATATCGGCCGGATCGCTGTCCGCAAACTCTGGAATGGGCACACTGATGAACTCCACGTCCTCCTCCTCCAGGATCTGAATGTTCTCTTCAATTATCTGGTAACGAGGAGCTGGAGCGCCCACGTCGGGTTCTGTTAGGGTCAAGCCATCCTCGATATACTTTATCCCACAGAAGTAGACACCACTTTCCTAAAAAGATAAGCCTAAGTTAAAACGCAAAAGTATTACGCAAGCTCCTGGACTGTTCTGTCTTGATGAGCTTTAAACGATGCCTCGGCCCCCTTTCCGTTCTCTCGCCTTCCTCTGAGTGAGGAGGGAATATTAATATCACTGTCACGGTCTGAGTAAAAAGACACCTGCCGGGGCTCTCTGAGCAAAAAGACAGGCCAGCAGCCCACTCAAAGTGCTTGTCTAGCAAATCCAGTCACCAAACCCTTCATGCTACAAGCGCAACGGAATGAGTGAAAGGGACATCCCTCTGCTCAGAAGAAGGAACAGGGCGAGCAAAAGGTGTAAACGAAAGAATCCGCTTCCCTCTTGGGTAACATGTTCTTGCTTCCAAGATTCTCAGATATTTTAAGAATTATGATGATACTGGGATGGCACACAGATGCGACTCAGATCACAGGGGCTGCTAACCAATATTCCCTCTAAGCTGTGGAGTCTTGTGAGCAAAAGTTCTACTTTGTGAGCTACTGGCATCAAAGTTGTGAGCGAGCGTGCTTCATCAATTAGTTTGCTCTGGAGCCATCCTTCCTGGGGTAAGACAAAAATGTGTGAGCCGGAGGCTAAAGAACTGTGAGCTAGCTCACACTAACTCAGCTCAGAGGGAACACTGTATGCTAACCCCAATTGCACATGCATGCAGGGTGGATTTTAAAAAAAATGGTTTTTTAAAAAACCAGATTTTTATTTAAATTGAATTTTGTTTGATAAAATGCTGTCTGAGGAAAAATCTATCTAAAGATAGCTTTCTGTTTAAGATACAGTATAGCCCAAAGGTTCTTCATCATGAAATGAGGATTAATTTTTAATTACGCAGTATGAGACTATATTCATGCAATTTATTTTTTTTAAAAAAATTGTAAATAAATTTCATTAATTCATTCATTAGGGCCCCAGTGTAATTCTCCCCCAAAGGTTTCTGTGTTATTTGCAGTAAATTTTCTATACCATCACAGATGCTTGGTTCTGCCGTTCTCAAAACTGTGAATTTGTGTCTGCAGAGATAATATGCCTCTTCTTAACAAAAAATGTTTTTAAATAAACAGAGTTGAGAAAGAGACCTCAATCCTAATGTTCCTCTGCAAATCTATATACACAGACTCAGCCCTTTAACTCCTAAGTGCTAAGTTTCAAGGAGCAGAGAAGATTGTTTGGGGTGGAATAGAGCTGGAAAAGGAGGCGCTTTAGTCTTAGCCATTCTAAAGTTTCTGTTATTGCTGACTGCTCTACTTCTGGCAGAACCGAAAAAGAATTAAGTCAACTGAATTTTCCAGGTGCAAATGCAAATTGTTAGTTCCACCTTGTAAGTCTTGGCAGGCTTGACCTTGTAAGTCTTGGCAAGCTTGACTCCTTTGCCTTGTTTAGTTATATGAACTTTTGGGGGGAAATCTATATCTACTAGGACTTTGGAGATTTGCGGCTTGGAGAACAAAGGAGACACAATAGTATTCCCAAAGACCCTAGCTGGGAAGATCCCTCTAGTTCCAAGAAAGGTTTTCTACGAAATAACAGTGAAGGTATTTTTGGGCTGTTAAAACATCTCTGTGTTTGGTTCGAACTGTTCAGCCTTTCTGTCAAGGATAAGTCTATCTGGCTGTGATTCTCTGGAAATAGTGTTCTTCGGTGGACGGTAGCTTGTTTTTTAGAATCCCAGTTAGGTGTCTGACTCTTATACTGACAGACAATTAAGCAAATCTTGTGTGGTGGCAATGTCAGATTATACAGCTTCCTATTTTCTTCTGTTTCAGGTCCAAATCAAAATAGTCTCTTTCAGCCTCAGAAGAGCCGGCACCTACAGGCCTCATTTAATCTTGGCACAGTCCTTGTGAGTTGTTTGGAGTTAATTTGTAAAAATCAGATCAACAGTTTCGGCAGTCAGAAGGGAAAGCGCTTCTGTTTGCTGTTGTTGTCCAGTTGCACAGTCGAGTCGGACTCTAGTGCATTGTTAGCTCCCTCTGCCCTTCTTGCTCCTTGTGGTAAGTCTTGTGGTGGGCTGTACATTTCTGCAATTGGAGTTCCCTGTGAATTTGAGAGATCAGCTAGAGGAGCATAACGGTTGGCAGTTGGTGTGTTGAGGATTATGGTCTCTTTCGGAGTAAAATAGTCCTCTGTTCTTTTCTGTTTACAAACAGGGCGTGTGGGTGACGTGCTCTTTCTCTGAGACCTATCTCTTTAGCCAGGAGCTTAAACACTTAAATCTGTTCTACTATATCTTCAAAGCTTTGAAGCTTTAAAGCTCTCTGGCATTATATTTGGCAAGAGTCAGTAGAAGAACAGAGGATCGACTCCAGAAAATAATTAATTACAGCTGTGGCTCAGCTTCTCGGGCTTATCACAGCAGGATGATTCAAGGTAAACCCCGTTGTTTAATTATAGTAAGATAACAGATCGTTTCCTTCCGTTTCTAAGTAGGATAGTTGTAGTTTTATGAGGCAGATGCCAGTTTGGGGAATTGAGAGAAATTGGAAGCAACCAAGGTGAGTCAAATAAGATAAAATACAATTATAACTTGCAGAGAGTCGTAGCCGGAGCTTTCATCTTGGATGAGGAAGTTAAGCACGAAGTTTGAGGAGGGAGGGGCAAGCAGTACAAATGAAAGTGAAACTTTTTGTGCAGAATACTCCAGAAGTCTTGTTCTTTGTGAGTGTGTCCCCATGGATGTTTAAGCAAATACAGGCATATATATGCTGTATAATGTTATCGTTTCAGTTACACAAAACAATTTAAATTATTATTGTTATGGGTAATGATTATTTTTCTCCTTCCAATAAAGTACAGCAGAAAGGTTGACCGAATATGAACGATAACTTATTAAATCGGAGACAGTTCATCTCACAACAATTTCATAATTATCTATTTCAAGTAGTAAATAATCACTCATTTTCTGATATACTGGTAAAACTAATTTACCGTTAATTTTCAGTGATTCAGTAAATTACTCCTAGGAGTAAGCCCTCCTTATGAAGACTTGAATAGGATTCTGAGTAGACCTGCTTAGATTTACTCCGTAAGTGTCTCTATATTGCAAGCGGTGAATTGAAGCACATCAACTACACTGTGGCCAATATCTCACTGCGGGGCGGAATAGCCAACTCAGAGCAAGCCTAGAGTCACCTGAAAGAGCAATTTCTGCTTTATTTTAATACTTCAGAAGCTCAAAAAATTGAAATGAGCAACAAGTTCATGAGAGAGGAGCAACAGCTCAGTGGCACAGCACAAGCTTTGAATGTAGAAGATCCCAAGTTTAATCTCCAGAATCACCAATTAAAGGCATCACAGGAAGCAGGACCCAGACGGATTTCCCGGTCTCAGACCTTAGAGAGCTGACGACACTCAAGATAGACAGGTTCTACGCTAGGTGGAACAACAACCAGTGTTTGTCTAAGGCAATTACATATGATCATAATGCCATTTCTGAATGCTACACGGGCATTTGTATAGTCTGCAATGGGTACTCTGCTTCCAGGCCACTTAAAAAGACCCATGTAATGTTTACAAATGACAAAGTCATATATATATATTTTTTTTTTAAACCCTTCCAATTTCAAATTTTTGATTTGGCCCTGTGATTCCAAACAGCCTCTATCCCAGGCCCATAGCCAAGATTCTGTGGCTTGTGGGGCAAAAAATTTTCTGGTGGGGCTGAAGTTCTCAGTGCAGAAAGGTCAGAATTCTGAGGATTAGGACTCAGCTACTGTGGAATCAAGTCTTTTAAAATCAGAGCATAGAGGCTTCTGCAAATCTTAGCTCCAGAGTGTGACGACAGCAGGCTGAGAACAGGTGGGTGGGTGGGTGGGAGGGAGGAAAATAAATTTTCTAGTAGATGGTAGGCATGACATTGGAAATACTTATTTGGGTTTGGCCAGGGTAGAAGCTGAAGAGAGCTTTAAGGCAGACTCTTCTCTCTCTGAGTCTTCTCAAGCTGCCTATTCTACATGGGTGTTCTTAACCATTTAGCCAATAGAAAGCTGATATTTCTGCCAGTCTAAGCAACAATTCTGATAACAAGCCAGCAGGTGAGGGTGATGACTTCTATAATCAAGAAAGCTAATACTTAGGTAGAAAAACTCTCTTAAAGGAGACCTGTTTCTTGACACAGAGTTAGAAGGTATCCTAGGGGTCACCTACTCCAACCCCCTTGTTCAGTGCAGAAATTAGTCAACTACAGCACCCCCACTCTGCTTAAAGGAGCACATGCCTTTAAAAATGTTTTTAAATGATTGAAAAAAGCATTTACAGGAGAAATTCTTGGGGGTCTGTTCCTTTAAGAAAGGGGGCAGAGCCCCCAAAAGCCCCACTGTGGCTTTTGGACTGCAAAAATAACTCAATTCAGATATTTTAATAATCTGCTGGAAACATTTCAAATACTTTCTGATGACACACTCGCCTATAAAGACCTGTTGTTGGTCTAACAAACAGGAAGCACCTTCACAACCTCTTCTACCGGCCAGGTAGGAAGGATGAACTTCTATTCTGTCCTATATCATCCTAAAGTCAAATGTTATCTAGAGTGTGCTTTGTTTTTTGAGCAAGTTTTGTCAAATATATCAAAACTGTCCAAACGGAAAGACTATCCAATTTGATGTCCTTGTTTCCACATGAAGTCGGTAATACTTTAAATCGCCAACACAACTGAAGCAATTCATTCAGCTTACCTGATGTGAAAAATACTTGTACAGATAGGCACCCCCAAGTATCACAACGGCAAGCATAAAAGCCAGCCCAAAGCACATACACCAACACCAACACCAAGCTCTCCTTTGTCGAACAGGCACCACGGCCTCAGGATCCTACAGATAAAAGGAAAACAAAACAATAAGTCTCCACAAAGTTGTGGTGTGATTAGGCGAGTCCAGAAACCAACCCAGTTTGAATACTGGCAAGGCTATTTTTGGGCAGGAACGCACAGGAATGGAGTTCCGGCTGGCTCTCGAGTTGGCCACGCCCAGCAGGAGCTCATTAGCATAACAGGCCACACCCAACAGATGAAACTCATTGGAATTGTCTACATTAAGGGTGTGTGGCCTAACATACAAAGGAGTTCCTGCTACAAAAAAAACCCTGGGTTTTGACAACAAACAAGGTAAACAGAATAACAAGCAAAAGGTGGGTGTGCCTGGATGACCACACTTCTGGTAACATGGGGGGTATGACCTAATATGCTAATGAGCTGTACTATCAGGGGTGTGGCCTAATATGCTAATGAGTTTCTGCTGTTGGGTATGGCTTATTATGCTAATGAGTTCCTGCTGGGCTTTTTCTACAAAAAAAGCCCTGAATACTGGCATCCTCATTCCTACCTCCTTTACTTGCACTTGAGTACGCAGCTGTTCAGCGGGGTGGGGAGATAGTTATTCTCGAACTGCAAGGGCCGTTCCAACAAAAGATGAACTATGAATACACTGCCTACTCAAGGTGGAAGAGCAAAAGCTTGCAGTGGAGCTTCACTGTTAAAGGTTAGCCAGATTTTGTGCATTCTGTAATTTCCTTGGGTATGCCAGAAGCTTTCTCCTGCAAGTACCAACATCTCTGGGCTACAAATCTTTCCAACAAAGGCAAAGGTTGCCACAATCATCTGCTTTTTACACAACTTCTGTTTCTCTCCGATACCACCCTTTGCTGCCAGTGAGAGCTAATGTACCACATGGCATGCCTGTGTCTCCTCCCCGGGGAGCTGTTGTTTCAATGGCTGTGTATTTTGCCATCACGAGCCAAGTCCTCAGACGAGTTTCTTCACATAAGCCATTCCAAATCATTCCAGTGCTAGGACTCTGTATTCCTTCTTCAGCTGCAGCAAACGCCCTCCCTAAAACCGAGGCCTGTAAATGGCCTTCCCATGAGAAGCGACGCACTTGAGCATTTGCTTCAGAAAGAACGCAACGCTCCACTTAGCTTCGACTTTTAGCTAGCTTACACAATAAGTACAGTACAGGTCAAAAGGGCGGATGTTTTCACCTTGGGGTCGGCAGGGAAGCGGAGAAACAACAGCTGTGTCAATTCTTTTTTCAGCAAAAGCAAAAGAGAGCCGCTTCGAGGCTTAAAGTGTGACAGTGGGGAGAAAGCAATGGGGAAGGGGGTAAAAGCACAGGACTGGTGGGTTTGGGAAAGGACTTTGATGTGGCGCCATGTTGGAGATGCTTCTGCATGGAGGAAGAAGAAGAAGAAGAGGAGGAGATTGGATTTATACCCTGCCCTTCACTACCCAAAGGTGTCTCAGAGCGGCTTACAAACTCATTTCCCTTCCCCTCCCCACAACAGACACCCTGTGAGGTAGGCAGGGCTGAGAGAGCTCTTGACAGAAACGGCTCTTTTTCAAGAACAGCTCTTATCAGAGCTATGGCTTGCCCAAGGCCATCCAGCCAGGTGCAAGTGGAGGAGTGGGGGAATCAAACCCGGTTCTCCCAGATTAGAGTCCACGCACTGAACCACTACACCAAACACTACACTGCAGCAGCATGGGAGGTTGGGCAGAATTAAGACAGCAAGAGACCCTTGAAGTCTTATAAGGGACTGAAGTGGAAGAACTGCTGCATTGCTTATTATTGTGAGAGCTCCAAATACATACATAGCAGACCCCGTTTCTCAAGAATGCTTCTTCGAATTCAGAAACTTCCTCTCGCAAAGGGTTTGACTAGCTGCAGAGCTGTCCATGAAAATACTTGTAGCAGAGAAATTCATTCATGCCTTGTGATGACAGCGAGCCTGATTTCACATCTGAATTATGCACATAGTTCCCCAGCGTGGGTCATGGGTAGAGTGCTTGAACTAGGATTTGGGAGAACCAGGTTCGAATCCCTGCTCTGCCATGGAAGCCTGCTTGGGCCAGTCACACACTCTCAGGTTGACCTACCTCACCAGGCTGTTGTGAGGGTAAAATGGAAGGGCGAATTACATAAGACACCTTGGGTCCCCCACCAATGTTCCCTCTAAGCTGTAGAGTCCTGTGAGCAAAAATTCTACTTTGTGAGCTACTGGCATTAAAGTTGTGAGCAGGTGATTTGGCTACTGCATAAATTAGTGTGTTCTGGAGCCCTCCTTTCTGAGCCAAGACAAAAATCTGTGAGCCGGAGGCTTAAAAACTGTGAGCTTACTCACACTAACTCAGCTTAGAGGAAACACTGGTCCCCACTAGGGATAATGCTTGGGTATAAATGAAGTAAATAAATAAAGCTGGGCTGCTGGAGGCAATCGGTTTGTCTAGCCCAGCCTCCTGGAACTAAGACTGACGCCCAATCAAGTCTACGAGACTGACTTGCATCACCCATGTTGTTGCAACCTGCCACAAGAAGACACCGAGGTCCACAAAAAAACCAAAGCAGTTTCCAGACTGCATAACTTTGTCTAATTCTTAAGCGTACTTGCAGGAACGGTCAAAAGTTCATCAAAACAAAATTTCATCCGTTCATCCTGCGAGACAGCCGTTCTGCATTACAAGCATACAAAGCCTGGTGCCCTGGGTATACAGTGTATGTCCCGGATATTTTTACTTCACATACTCTAGGAATCCGCCCCGGAACTAAAAACAGATTCCAGAAATTAAACCCTGCTCCAAAATCATATTCCAAGCCCCTCAAGGAAGATACTTCCAACTTCAATAAGATTTCCTAGTAATATGTATTTTCTTTTCGAGGAGAAACTTCTGCAAATATTGGATAGGTACAACCAGGGCTATTTTTCTGCAGGAACGCACAGGAACAGAGTTCCGGCTGGCTTCAGAGTTGGCCACACCCACTACAGCCAAAACCTCTGCGTGTGTGGCTACAGAGGGAAGGCCTGGAGAGCGCCCCTCTATGACTCCGAGGCGGGCAGGCCAGGCCTCCCCATGCCTTCCCCAGCCTGTCCAAGGGCTGGCTTGCCTGGGCTCCCTGCAGCCGCGGGGCACCCAGGCAAGCCAAGGGAAGGCATGGGGGTGTGGCCTAATATGCCAATGACCTGCGTTGTCAGGGCTGTGGCCTATTATGCTAATGAGTTCCTGCTGGGCTGTTTCTACAAAAAAGAACCCTGGGTACAACAGTTACAGCTTACAGGGTAAAAATTTTACAGGATGTTGGGAAGTATAGTTATATTGTACTAACCCAGGCTAGCCTGATCTTCTCAGGTCTTGGAAGCTAAGCAGGGTCGGCCCTGGTCAGTACTTTGATGGGAGACCACCAAGGAATGCCAGTGCCACGAAGCGGAGAAAGGTGATGGCAAACCACCTCTAAATGCCTCTTGCCTTGAAAACCCTATTGGGTCACTGTAAGTCAGCTATGACTTGATGGCAAAAGATAAACAAACAAAAAACTGTACGTGTATAAACATTACTTACATAGTATTTGCATTTTATAAGCAGTGCAGGAAAGGGGTGGCAGTGAAGAACGGGAATTCTGAGATGGTTCTTAGCTCCAAAGAGCCGAATTCTAAACCTGCCTCTTTTGGCTCCTATTTTAGTTCACTTCAACTCTGGCCTAATGTCTCAGGCAAGGGCTTTTTCTCCATCTTGTCTGTGCAGGGGCCATGCCTCCTCGTCCAAAGGCCTCCCCACCCCCACATCCTACTACAGAATATACACAGAATGTGGGCACCAGTCCGTTTTATTTCCGCCTGCTCCCCATTTCTACACACAGCTCCCCTAACCACTGGACTGAAGGGATTAGAAATGAGAAGGACTGCTCTTAACTCTGCCTGCAAGCCTCTATGACCATATTCTGGGTGGGGGGGGGGAGCAAGAATTGGTTCAATGCTGTTAGCCATGTGGTCACAACGGTTTCTGTGCATACTTGGCAGGAGAGTTATCCTAGAAAAAGAGGTGCAGGAGCTCATTACCATAACTCATTAGCATAACTTATTTGCATATGCCACACCCCCTGACATCACCGGAAGTGTGTCAGAAGGCAACACCCACCGCTCAGGCTCCACTGGACTGTTTCGGATTGCTAACTATTGGGGGGGGGGGAGCGTGCAGATCTGTCCTCGCAGAGGAGGGAGAGCTTGTACCTGAATAAAACTTGGTCTTAAAGGTGCCACTTTTTGGACTGGGGGGCCGGGGGGGGGCTCTGCAACTTACCTGGCTGCTTCTTGCTCTGACTGAGGGCTGCTGGGAGCAGGGGGTGGGGCTTGTTGCATGTGCCCACCCCCTGGGCTCTTTACTGCTGGAGCTCTGCTCCTGTGTGCTTCTGCAGGAAATTACCCCTGGTTATCAGTGGGTGATACCGTGATTGGCAGTGACTGCTTTGTAGCCATGAAGTCTGTGGAAGTGCCTGCCACCATTGCTGTGCTAGCTTTTCTCGTCTCAAAATATATACAAAGGCCTGGGCAAAATGGCTGCACATTGTAGGAATTTGATCAGAACGTGTGGGTCGTGAGCTACTAGAAGATAATGACAACTGGAGAATATATTAACGCATTACCAGATTAAGGTAAATTTTGCAAAAGGAAGTGAATTATGTCAATCATGACCCACACTCAAAAGTCTGCATATATCAAAACGGGTATGCTAAATGACATTAAGAGGACCGAAAAAACAGCAATGAAAAGCTATGTTAGCACCTGGCCACTGGACACTGCGAGACCAGCAAAGTCTACCAGATCTAATTAGAAAATTCCCATGTAACACTCCTCCCCAAAGCCTTCCTTTCCTGAGGATGGCAGCATGTTTTCTCTTGGCATCACTGAACAAATTTGATGGACGCTGACTGTGTACAGACAGACCTAAGGAAAATGATGACACATTTGCATGGATTCTTGACTTCTTTTGAATATAAAATATCTTGGTAGGATGATGAGGGAAAGTCAAAGCTGCTTTTTTACTACTGGAGTCAGGAAGCAATTTACCCTGACGCTAACGAAAGGCGGAACTGAGATAGGGACAACTAACGAGAATTAATTCCCGTAACTGCTTTCTTTGATTTAAATGGCCTTTCCCAAATTTTCCATAGTTTGAGTCCAAGCATTCAAAATAAACCACTGACATTTCAGGCTGCTATCCACTGAAACAAGCTTTTTATTTTAATTTGCAGCTACGTTGGAGGTCAGCTACAGCTCTATCAATATTTGTTTCCAAAGTCAATTCTACGTTAATATATTACTCCAAAAGAAAGGCCCCAAACACCAATTCCCTCTCTATTCCCCGCAAAGGAAGGGCAAGATATTGTAGAAACAGAAGAAAATCCTGTGATAACTGCTCCTAAACCACTAACTTTAGGATTAGAATGTAAATCAGAAAGCTAAACAACAGTGAAATTTTTTGTCTGTGATTTTTCCATCTTGTCTATATAATTGTGCTTCAGACTAGGCCAAGCAGTAAAGTTAATCTCAGAAGTCTCACAGGCAAGGCGCAAGACCGAAATTAAATTCCAGAGCACTGTAGAATTTATAATCTCGTGAGCTAAGAACTTAATTTATTAGCTAAAATGTCTGAGGGAAGTGCCAAATAAATTATGAAGACCATGTCCCAACTACTCTGCATATGAACATTTTCCCAGACACTAACATAATACATTCTGCTAAATACGACTAAAGGAAGAATAAAAACGGAAATCAAACTAATAATTCTTCTTACAGTCCCTTTTCCCCACACAGTGAATCGACACTGTAAAGACTACTGACGGAATTAACTCTCAGCCTTAGCTCTCCCCTCTACCACCCAACCTGCCCCATAAAGAATTCTCAATTTGATTTCCGTATCTAAAGAAATGAGTGGTGACTCATCGTAAAAGTTGTTCCTCTTTAAGGCTCTGCTGAACTGTCTCGTATTGATGCTGACTGGCTCCCTTGTGGTCAAGGTGAGATTCAGACTAGAGATTTCTCCGCTCAGGCATTTAGCCATTATTATGCTATACTAGCACTCAGAAATCTGACACCATATAATATTTCAAACAGCTGCACAATCTAGACAGTTACAAAACACATAAAAGCTGTCCAAATGCAGTATCTGTTTTGTACGCTACTATCCTCCATGTCATTTAGGAAATGTAGCTCCTTTAGTGCATATTAAACCCCTTCCATTTTAGACAGAAGCTCAACAATGACAAACCTGGGGCCTTAGTAACTTTATGTGCATGGATTCAATAACTCAAAGTCCATTTGCTGGTTTTCTGTGGCGTTGCAGCTCAGTGGCATATCACGGCACAAATAGAGTCGTAAATTTTTATTTTTCTGTAGGTTTATATGCCAACTCTTCATAGGCCTGCTCATGGTGGTTTACAAACAACTTAATTTTTAAACTCAGGATGACAGGAGGAAACATTTCCAGAATGCTTCGATCTACTATCATCACGACCCCCTAACACTGGCCATCAAAACCTGTGGAGTAGCGGTTAAGAGAAAACTCCCTCTAAGCTGTGGAGTCTCGTGAGCAAAAATTCTACTTTGTGAGCTATGGACATTAAAGTTGTGAGCAAGTGATTAGGCCACTGCACAAATTAGTTTGCTCTGGAGCCCTCCTTCCTAAGGCAAAAACGTGTGAGCCGGAGGCTAAAAAACTGTGAGCTAGCTCACACTAACCCAGCTTAGCGGGAACACTGACCTTAAGACTGTCAGATATCATGGATACCCAGGTTTGAATCCCTACTTGTGCTATAAATGCCTGCTGGCTGGGTGACCTTGGGCCAGTCACATTCTCTCCACCTAACCTACCTCACAGGGTTGCTGTGAGGATAAAATAATGGAGCCCGACAGGAGAAGGCTGTAAGCCACTTTGGATCCCCACTGAAGAGAAAGGCAGGGCACAAAATGAATAAAATGAAGCAAACCTCTGCTGCCAGGCCAGCAATTACTAATTTTTTGGACACAACTGCAAGAGGAGGCTTTGCGGCAACAAAACCTTTAAGGCTCCCTGTTTAGCTTTGGTCCTGCAGCCTCCAACGATGACCCCTCCCCAACCAGTGCTCCCTCTAAGCTGTGGAGTGTCTTGTGAGGAAAAAATCTACTTTGCAACCCTCTAAGCTGTGGAGTCTTGTGAGCAAAAATTCTGCTTTGTGAGCTACCAGCAGTAAAGTTGTGAGCAAGCGATTTGGCTACTGTGTAAATTAGTTTGCTCTGGAGCCATCCCTTCCTGAGCGAAGGCGAAAATCTGTGGGCCGGAGGCTAAAAAACTATGAGCTGGCTCACCCTAACTCAGCTTAGAGGGAACACTGTTTGCAAGCTACCGACATTAAAGTCGTGAGCAAGCGATTTGGCTGCTGCATAAATCACTTTGCATCGTGGCTTCACCTTTCACTTAGCTATACCTGAATCTTTGACAACACAGCACACTAACTGACCCCGGATATCCAAGATCATGCTCCTATACATGTACATGTCAGTATACAGTACTCTCAGGCAACTCACACATCCTTGTAACAACTATGCTGAACCAAAATTCCAGTTCTCCATCACAATTGCACTATTAACCCTTCTGTCCTTAAATTCTGAAGTTTACCTAATCCTATTTGTCTTGTTACTCTGAAACACTGCATGTTGTTTAGTTGTTGATATTCAATTGTTTGCACTCAATTTCAAAAAAAATTATAAAGAAACCGTAAAATAAAATAAACAAATCAGTTTGCGCTGGAGCCATCCCTCCTGAGCTAAGACAGAAATGTGTGACCCGGAGGCTAAAAAACTGTGAGCTGGCTCACACTAACCCAGCTCAGTGGGAACATGGCCCCAATGCTCCCTCTAAGCTGTGGAGTCCTGTGAGCAAAAATCCTACCTTGTGAGCTACTGGCATTAAAGTTGTGAGCAGGTGATTTGGCCACTGCATAAATTAGGTTTACTCTGGAGCCCCCCTTCCTGAGCGAAGACAAAAATGTGTGAGCCGGAGGCTAAGGAACTGTGAGCTGGCTCACACTAACCCAGCTCAGTGGGAACACGGCCCCCAAGCCAATGTTCCCTCTAAGCTTTGGAGTCCTGTGAGCAAAAATCCTACCTTTGAACTACTGGCATTAAAGTTGTGAGCAGGTGATTTGGCCACTGCATAAATTAGTTTACTCTGGAGCCACAAAAAATGTGTGAGCCGGAGGCTAAAAAACTGTGAGCTGGCTCACACTAACTCAGCTTAGAGGGAACACTGCCCCCAACACCCACCCCCGTTGCAAAGGGCTCTTCGGCGTTTTATCCTTAAAGAAACCCTCCGGGCTTCTGCTGCAGCCTTGCAGGAGAGAAAGCAAGCGAGGCAGCGGCTGCGGTTCCCCCCTGCACTTCAGATCCAGATCTGGGGGGAGTGATAACTGCAGAGTGAGAGGAGGAGAAGGCGGCTTTTAAAGATGGGGGAGAGACGCGGGGGGCGGGGGAGAGAGAGAGCCAAGCCGGAGCCAGCCCGAAGGCGGCCGGGCTAAAATAAAACCTCCTAAAAGTAGCAAAGCAAAAGACAAGCCCCGGTCGTCAGCCATTTTAGATGCGGGAGCGCAGTCGCCAATCCCCGGCGGCCAGACACCTCCACCACCCCCACCCCCGGTCCTCCTCCTCGGCCGCCTCCGCGCCGTGAACACCCCTCCGGAAGAGGCCTCGAGAAGACCCCCGACGGAGCCCCTTCCAGGCCCAGCGCCCCAGCCCTGCAACCGGGGATGGGGGGGGCGCCGCCGACGCCGCTCCCGGGCCTGAGCTGCTGAGGCTGCTGCAGCGGCCTCCTCCTCCTCCTCCTCCTCCTCCTCACCTTGCCGTCGGCGGGCACGATGAGCACCTGGCCCAGGCTGCCGCCCTCCTTCCCCTCCTCGTCCTCCTTCTTGCCGCCCTCCTTCTGCGCCAAGGCCGAGTTGAACGACACCTTCACCATGGCGGCGGCGTTGGCGGCGGCGCTGCTGCTCTCCTCAGTTCTGAGGTGATTCCCGGCAGCTTCCGCCTCACGGCTCCGGCTCTCCTCCTCCCCAGCCAGAAAGCCGTCGGGGGGCTGGAGGCGCTTCTCTGGCTCCGCCCCGGAGGCCAACCGAGCCGCGGCCGGGAAGGGGGGAGGAGGAGGAGGAGGGACGGCTCCGAGGCGAATTTGGGCCGGGGTGGTGGTGGTGATGGTGCTCAGGGACTAGCCTCGGAAGAGTCCATTCAGACGTGCGCTGGGAGATCCGTGTTCGCCCCCCGCCCCCAAGGGCCTGATTTGGATCAGGACCGCCTGGGCTGAAGTGGGGCTTACATTCCCTCTCCTCAGGGTATCTGTCTATCTATGGCTGCTGCCACACACCCTAAGTAATCCACTTTCAATCCACTTTCAGTGCACTTTCAAAGTGGAGTTTTACTGTGTGAACTGGCAAAATCCACTTTGAAAGTGCACTGAAAGTGGATTGAAAGTGGATTACTTAGCGTGTGTGGCAGCAGCCTTATCACATTTATACACCGCCTTGGAGTGAGCTCCCGTCTCTAGTTCCAGCTCCTGCCAACCTAGCAGTTCGAAAGCAAGACATTGCAAGTAGATAAATAGGGACCACTTCGGTGGGAAGGTAACAGCGTTCCGTGCGCCTTGGTGTTTAGTCATGCCGGCCACATGACCACGGAAACGTCTTCGGACAGCGCTGGCTCTTCGGCTTTGAAGGAGATGAGCACCGCAACCCTAGAGTCGGATTCGACTGGCTTTCGAGCAAGGGAACCTTTAGCTTTACCTTTTTTCTCCCCAGGGGAGATTCAAAGCAGCTGTCGTAATTCTCCTCCATTTTATCTAGGGATGCCAGCCCCCAGGTGTGGGACCGGGGGATCCCCTGGGATTACAGCTCATCTCCAGACTGGGGAGATCAATTCTCCTGGAGAAAAATGGATGCTTTGGAAGGTGGATTCTGTGGCATTGTGTCCCACTGAGGTCCCTGCCCGCCCCAGGCTCCAGGAGTTTCCCAACTCAGACCTGGCAACCCTAACGCAGAAGCTTGCATAGGGATGCCATATAGGATCCCATGTCTGGGAATGTTCCACTTTTGACAGGTTCTTATTCACATGATTGAATGTTTTCTCTCACAGTCCCCTGGAATTACAGCTCATCTCCAGACTACAGAGATCAGTTCCCCTGGATAAAAGGGATGCTTTGGAGGGTGGACTCTGTGGCACTGGACCCCAATGAGGTCCCTGTCCTCTCCAGGCTCCATCCCCAAATCTTCAGGAATTTCCCAGCCTGGTTCTGGCAACCCGCTGGTGCCTGGGGGGGAACTGGCAACCCTAATTTTATCCTCACAACAACCCTGTGGGGTAGAACAAAGCTTGAGTCTAGTGGGACCTTTAAGACCAACAAAGTTTAACTCTGGGTATAAGCTTTTGTGTGCATGCACATTTCACCAGATACTGATGACCAACACGGCTACCCACCTGAATCTACCTGTGAGTTGGGTTAGGCTGAGGGTGTGACTAGCCCACTCAGCTTCTGTGGCAGGAGTAGGGATTTGAACCTGGGTCTCCTAGATAGTTGTCTGACAAGGACATGGGGGGGGGAACGACCATGTCTGGGATGTTCCACTCTTGACAGGTTCTTATTCAGGTGGTTGAAAGTTTTCTCTCACAATATGGAGAATATTCATGTGTGTTTTTTAAAATCTGTACAGGTAGAAGCATAGACCAGAACACTCCCACCTGATATTGAGAGGCGCCCTTCCACAAGCAGGGAAACTTTTTGCATGGACCAAAACAACAACAACCTAGGTAGCCCCGTGGGTCCTTCGCAAACTCTCAAAACAAAAACCCTTTAATAACTTTAATTAAGTTGTGCTTTCCAGCGTTTACCGTCACAACAACCCTGAGGGAAGGTTAGGCGGAGATTGTGTGATTGGCCCAAGGTCACTCTGTAAGCTTCCATTCAAAACCAGGTCTTCCAGATCCTCGTCCAACCACTATACCCAGGGAGTTCAACGGGGCCATGAAATGTGGGAGGTAAAAGGTGACATGATGCAATTGCAAACATTCAAATCAGGAAAAATACACAGATGGTTTATGAGTTAACACCCTCCATGGGAGGAGGATTGGTTTTGTTCAAGGCTCCCCATAGAGGGAATTTGAACCTGGTGCCAGAGGGCATTCATTATGCCACATAGGCTGTCAGGTAGATTCAGGTGGGTAGCTGTGTTGGTCCGAGGCAGCAGAACAAAGTTCGAATCCAGTGACTTCTTTAAGACCAACAAAGTTTTATTCAAGGTATAAGCTTTCCTGTGCACACATACTTCTTCAGGTACATTGAAATGGAAGTTACCAGCCTACACATATAGGTAGAGAATGAGTCTGACTCTTCGTGACCCCATGGACCACATCATGCCAGGCCCTCCTGTCTTCCATCATGCTCCGAAGTTTGCTTAATTTCGTGTTTGTTTGCATCGATGACACTGTCTAACCATCTCATCCTTTGCCGTCCCCGTCTTCTTTGACCTTCAATCTTTCCCAGCATCAGGGTCTTCTCCAGTGAGTGCTCCCTTCTCATTTGGTGGCCAAAGTACTTCAAGAGTCTTCTCCAGCACCATAGTTCAAAAGAATCGATTCTTCGGCGCTCGGCCTTCCTTATAGTCCAACTCTCGCAGCCATACATGACTACTGGGAATACCATTGCTTTGACCATGCAGACTTTTGTTGGCAGGGTGATGTCTCTACTTTTTATTATGCTGTCTAGGTTTGCCATCGCTTTCCTCCCAAGGAGCAGCCGTCTTTTAATTTCATGGCTGCAGGCACCATCTGCAGTGATCTTGGATGAAGTCTGTCACTGCTTCCACGACTTCCCCTTCTATTTGCCAAGGAGTGATGGGGCCAGATGCTATGGTCTTAGTTTTCTGATGTTGAGTTTCAAGCCAACTTTTGTGCTCTCCTCTTTTATTCTGAGCAAGAGGCTCTTGAGGTTCTCTTCACTTTCTGCAAGAGGCTCTTGAGGTTCTCTTCACTTTCTGCCATTAGAGTGGTATTGTCTGGATATTTGAGGTTGTTAATCTTTTCCCCAGCAATCTTAATTCCCGCTTGTGATTCATCCAGGCCAGCATTTCGCATGATGTACTCTGCATATATATTAAATAAGCAAGGTGACAATATACATCCTTGTCGTACTCCTTTTCCTATGCTAAACCAATCAGTTGTTCCATATCCGGTTCTAACTGTCGCTTCTTGACCCTTATACAGGTTTCTCAAGAGACATGTGAGGTGGTCTGGTACTCCCATCTCTTTAAGGACCTGCCATAGTTTGTTGTGATCCACACAGTCAAAAGCTTTAGCATAGTCAATGAAGCAGAAGTAGATATTTTTCTGGTACTCTCTTGCTTTCTCCATAATCCAGCGAATGTTGGCAATTTGATCTCTAGTTCCTCTACCTCTTCGAAACCCAGCTTGTACTTCTGGTAGTTCTCTATCCACGTACTGTTGAAGCCTAGCTTGTAGGATCTTGAGCATGACCTTGCTAGCATGTGATATGAGTGCAATTGTGCGATAGTTTGAACATTCCTTGGCATTGCCCTTCTTTGGGATTGGAATGTATACTGACCTTTTCCAATCCTGTGGCCACTGTTGCGTTTTCCAAATTTGCTGGCAAATGGAGTGCAGAACTTTAACAGCATCATCTTCTAAGACTTTGAATAGCTCAACTGGAATACCATCACCTCCACTAGCTTTGTTGTTAGCAATGCTTTCTAAGGCCCATTTAACTTCACATTCCAGGATGTCTGGCTCAAGGTCAGTGATTATACCGTCGTGTTTGTCAAGGACATCGAGGTCTTTCTTGTATAGTTCTTCTGTGTATTCTTGCCATCTTTTCCTAATCTCTTCTGCTTCTGTTAGGTCCCTACCGTTTTTGTCCTTTATCATGGCCAGCTTTGCATGGAACGCTCCCTTGATTTCTCCAATTTTCTTGAAGAGATCTCTAGTCCTTCCCATTCTATTGTTTTCTTCTATTACTTTGCACTGTTCATTCAGGAAGGCCTCCTTATCTCTCCTTGCTGTTCTCTGGAAATCTGCGTTCAGTTGGGTAAATCTTTCCTTTTCGCCTTTGCCTTTCGCTTTCCTTCTTTCCTCTGCTATTTGTAAAGCCTCATCAGAAAGCCACTTTGCTTTCTTACATTTCTTTTTCTTTGGGATGGTGGTGATTGCTGCCTCCTGTACGATGTCACGAACCTCTGTCCATAGTTCTTCAGGCACTCTATCTATCAAATCCAGACCCTTGAATCTATTCTTCACCTCTACTGTATATTCATCAGGGATGCGATCTAGGTCAAACCTGAATGGCCTCGTGGTTTTCCCAATTTTCTTCAGTTTAAGTCTGAATTTTGCAATGAGTAGCTCATGATCTGAACCACAGTCAGCTCCAGGTCTTGTTTTTACTGACTGGATAGAGCTTCTCCATCTTTGACTGCAAATTATATAGTCAATCTGATTTCGGTGTTGCCCATCTGGTGATGTCCATGTGTAGAGTCGCCTCTTAGGTTGTTGGAAAAGGGTGTTCGCTATGACCAGTGTGTTCTCTTGACAAAACTCTGTTAACCTTTGCCCTGCTTCATTTTGCTTTCCAAGGCCAAACTTGTCTGTTATTCCAGTTACCTTTTGACTTCCTACTTTAGCATTCCAGTCCCCTATGATGATGAGGACATCATTTTTTGGTGTTAGTTCTAGGAGGTGTTGTAGGTCTTCATAGAACCGGTCCACTTCAGCCTCTTCTGCATCAGTGGTTGGGGCATACACTTGAATTACTGTGATGTTGAATGGTTTGCCTTGGAATCGGACAGAAATCATTCTGTCATTTTTGAGATTGTATCCCAGTACTGCCTTTTGCACTCTCTTGTTGACTATAAAGGCCACACCATTTTTTCTACGAGATTCCTGGCCACAGTAGTAGATATAATGGTCTTCTGAGTTAAATTCGCCCATTCCTGTCCACTTTAGTTCACTGATTCCTAGGATATCGATGTTCAGTCTTGCCATCTCATTTTTGACCACGTCAAGCTTACCTTGATTCATAGATCTTACATTCCAGGTTCCTATGCAGTATT